AATCACATTAAGCATTTATTGCATCTCTTTGTCTCCCTGGAGGAAAACACAGTATTTATCTCCCTGTACCATGATTAGAGAATTGTCACCTTTAAAAACCAATGAGCTTTGTTCCCAAAGCAGAAAAATTACAAGAGAATCACAAAGCATTTTCTTCTGAATTTCCTGGGAATTATATTTGGTGATTCCATCTTCACTGGGACATTTCCTGTAAGTCTGAAGAAGTGTCCTTTGGCTGAATGCTACCAAGTGGAAGACTGAATTGTATACCTTACTTAAAGTCTCTCCATAACCTCATAAAAATGTTTTATTACCCTAATCTTCCAGATGAGAACAGCAAGTTACAGAAAGTTTAAATGACTTGTTGGATGCTATGGTTTTAAGTACTAGAGATAGAATTTGAACCTAGACCAAGAGGTGGAGATCTATATAACATGATGAATTATTTCATTTTAAAAATTATGTGTGTGTGCATGTGTGTGTGTGCAACCTAGGTAAGCCAACATAAACAGCAGATGTGAATTTTATTCTTCATCATAGATTTGGAAAATGAGATAGAAGTAAATGGAAGTGATATTTGGATTAATGAGTTACTTCCTTAAAGAAAAGGCTGCGTTAATGCGGCATCTTCTATTATGCATATGTGAGCAAATCCCCAGGGAAAGAAGAGGAGCAAAATGGAAGGATTTTAGGCCCCAAAGCCTTTAAGCCATCAGCAAAGGCCTGGCCAAATCATTTCTGAAAATGCAGTTAAAATTCTGTCTTTACATTAGCCTAGAGCACATCCTAACTGAAACAGAATTGAAATAGATTAAGCATTAATGATCAATAATACAATCTAAGAATCAAAAATAAGAGTAAAAGGAAGAAAGTGTAAAAAAAGAATGAATAGAAGAAAAAGTAATGGAATGGAAGAAAAACAAAAAAGGTATCAAGTAAACCTGGTTTTAGAAAAATATTATTAATTTAGACAAAACTGGTCATCAGGAAAAGAGACATGCTAGCTGATAGACAGATAGTTGACTGATTGTAAAGTAGGATAGTTAGATGATAAAGAATTGTAAAGTAGGATAGATGATAACAACAGAAAAGAATACTACATTAGAGATATCAATAATATTGAGGGTTTTAAAAATTATTGAAAAGAATGAGAAGATTTATGATAATGAGTTTAAAAACAATGGCAATTATCTAGAAATATGTAAGTTAACTAAATGTACCCATTATGTATAAAATACCTAAGCAAATCTATATCAATTACAGACATATAATCATTACAGAAAAATCTGCAAACAAGAGGAGCAACAGGTTCAGATCTTTCAACTGATCTTTTCAACAGGTTCAGATCTTTCTATAATCCTTTTGTTAGATAATTTTTTCAGAGTTCAGATATAAAAGTTAAGCCTCTCAGTTAGTCTTATGGTATCAAAGTATAACAATAATTTAGCACAATGGCTGCAGCCACTATCCACCCCCCAAGTATTTCTGAAAAACAGCACAAACCCTAGTATTTTACTTCACCCCAGGTGCCACTAGTTGTAAAACTTCTATCTCATCTCACTAACAGGAGGTTAATAGTCAGATGCTTTTGATAAACTAAATTGGCCAAAAACCCATTCTCTCATCCTTAACTTCCTGCCCCTTTTTTTAAAGCAAAAGATGTCAAAATCCATCCAGGATCCCATCTATGAGCCCCTGGCCCTCTCAAACTGAGCAAGAATTTATATCAGCAGCCTGAAGACCCAAGGCAGAATTCTCCTCTGAATCTGCCCACACTCATGCTTGTGAGTCTACTCTCACCTGCAATAAATCTTTATCTCTAACTCACCTATATGGATTTTTGTATGAATCCTTTCCTGTATAGAAGTCAAGAACATCGGGATCCCTCAGCATCCCTGAGCCCAAAAGTATGAACTATCTAACAATTCTGCAACTAATGTAAGGAAAATTATTAGCCATTATAATTAATTAAATAGATGAAAAAAAAAAACATATAACATAGTAAACTGAGCCATACTCCATGTGTGTGAACATGTAAATCGACCTCAAGAATAACCATTCTTTATCCTGAGAACAGTAAAATGATTTAAATTTAGAAATATGTTAATGTAATATGCCAACTTGACCATGTCAAGGGAAATAACACATCAGTTGATGCAAAAGCTGTTTAACAAAATTCAAAATCATAGTGGCATCCTCTACCTTGCTGTTCTCACACTTTTCAAGCTCTTGTTTAAGTCCAGTATAATGAAATGTATCTGCAAGTTTCATGTGGCAGCTTCCAAGAGCCTTCCTGTTAGTTACCTGCCCATGATTTTCTTCCTTTTCTATTCCCCCCTCCTTTTTGTTGCTGCTGATGGGGAGGCTGCTATGAGCCATGGGAGTGGAGGGTGGAGCTACAACATCTGAGTCCTAAAGTGCAAGCACCACGTCAGCCCCAGGCCGACAGCTTCTGGACTTCTTAAGAAATGTCTGTTTTGGGCCTCCCCTGGTGGTGCAGGCGGTTGAACACTGCACTGTGAAGCTGTCTGCAGACTCTGCAGCGCTGGGTCGATCCCGGCTGGCCAGGGAGGGTCCCACATGGTGCAGCAGACCTCTCATGTCATGCCCGCTGCTCCCCTCAGCAGTGTATTTCATTAGTCTGCCTGTTCTGTTCCCTGCTCTGTCTCTGGTGAATCCTCTCACCCTCCCCGCGCATCTGGCCTGTGCCCTGGTTCTTGTATAAAATAAATAAATAAATGTTTTTTAAAAAAAGGTTTAAAAAATAAAAAAGAAAAGCTTATTTTGTTTAACCTGATGTCGTGATATATGTCTCTTTAAGACTGCACTGGTTAGTACTGGCAGTGTAATTAGAGAATAAAAAGAAATGAAATATAAATTATAAATAATAAATATACCTAGTTGCATTATATGATTACAGATAAAACATCACACAGATTTCTATCAATGGGCTGCAATGTCACACCCATAAAATTGTCAGAAATTAAAAGTGTAACAATACCCAGTGTTGATAAAGTCATGGAAAACTACAAACTGTCACATATGGCTGGCTTGTTTGAAAAGCTGACATCTGTGAAGTTCTTTAAAAATGGAGCTGGGAGCCATTACAGAGAAACTGCATCACTTGAAATGGGCCAAAGACCTTTGAACTGGGCCAAAAGTCGTTTTTTTGGGAACTCTTCATGCAAACTATTGTTGGAGAACTAATGATTATGGGCTTTTAGCAGATGATTTAATTGATCAGATAGTTCCCTTTTCACTCTTGCTAGAGATTTAGTAAACAATTATGATTATGTGTAGCGAAGAATAGTTTAAGCCTTAACACTAATCAGCTCTTTTCTTTAACCACTTACCTCACCTTTTCCTCCCATAAAAATACCTGATTTGGTCTCTCCTTGGGGCACATTCTACTTGAATCTGCCTATCCCTAATTCTTTGGTCCCAAATAAACACACTTTGCCTTTTTAATTGCCTCCTGGATGTTTACGTTCCAAAAGGCACACATTTTTCAAAACTATTTTGGTGAGAGTTTGGCTAGAATTCTTTTGACCATAGGTAACAGAAATTGTCGTCAAATTGACTTAATAACATGGAGCAAAATGTAAGAATTTCAAAAAAGGTGTTTGCCTCTAGAGAGTTGAAGTTATCAAGTAGCTATGGAAATTGTGCAAATAAATATAAAGTGGGGACATAAGAAAGAAAACAGAAGACTAATAAAGTCTATCAGAGTGTTATAGATGACAGAAGACTCTCTTGGATGAAAACGAGGGATGAGTTTCAAGAATGTTATGGCCAATAATGTCAAGTGCTACAGAGAGGAGTGAACATGCTTAGTATATCTAACGACCTTGGGGAAAACCAGTTTCAAATGCAGTGATAGCTAGAAACTATGTATCTGTGCTTTGAAAAGTCAGTAGGAGGTAAGCAGGACAGTATGTGAAATGCAGCAAGTTTTCTAGAGAGCTTGGTTGGCGGAGGGGAAGTGCATTAACCAGAGAATGAAAGATTTTTCAGTGGAGAAGACATGGTAATATTTTAGTTTGCGTTAAAAGATTCAGTAGAGGGAGAGACCTAAGATAACGGAAAAATAGGAAAGAGTAGGCCTTTCTGTAGGAGCTACATCTGGATGAAGATGGGAAACAGTGGATCCAGGGCACAGGTGGAGAATTTAGCCTTGAACGTGAGAAGTAATGGGGAAGTGAAAAGAGAACTCCCAGATGAGAAGAGAGACAGATGGAACAAAGAAAGGGGAGAAATGAGTTTTATCCTGCTGTGTTTCCAATCAGTGTTTCCCAGAAGGGATGCTTGGCAAGGAAAACAGGAAACAGACAGGTGGTCCAAGGTCTGTTGGGTAAAGTTAATATATAGTTGCTTGATTATTCAGGTCTGAGTTTTAGGACAAAAAAGGTAGTAGATTAAAAGCAATTACTGCAAATTTATGAATCACATCCAGTTGCCCAGACACCAGTCTCCTGACCTAAATTTCTCCCTCCCTTAGCGAGTGGAGCTGGGGTGTTGCCAATATGGAGGTCATTCTCAATTTACAACAGAAAACAAGCTGCAGTGAGGAAAGAGTTCAAGAAAAGTCTCACTTGATGTCAGTGCTGAAGGCCACCTCGTGAGCATCTCCACAAACTCTTTAATGAAAGATAAAACTAAAGCTCATGTGTCTGAGCTTGCAAGGTCCTCAAATTATTGCTGGATCTCATTCTTCATTTTCCTCTTCCTAACCCTGAGGAACATTATAGAATTTAGCACATTATATATTTTACTTCTTTAGTTCATTTATTCTTTGCCTCCTTTCATGAGATTGCATTAGAGAGCAGGGGTTTTGTCACTTTTGCTCATGGCTGTTGCCTCAACCCTCGAAGTGTGCCTGACAGAACTTGAGGAAGACTTGGTCAGCGAGTGCACTGCGTCTAACCCAGGCACTTATCACTTCCTCACTTCAACTTTCATGCAGAACACTTCAAAGTGAAACTGGTACTTCTAACAGCTACCTCCATGCAAGTAGCTTCTTCACGAACTGCTTCTTCATTGGTTAGGGAAGATGCCGTGGCAGAACAGAATTCAAATCCAAGATTGCCTGGTCTCAGAGCCAAACATGGATGAATTTAACCTATTCAGTTAGTTCTCCCTGAAAAAAACAAAAACAAAAACAAAAACAAAAACTGAAGAGTTTTGTGTGTGTAGCAATAGACAAAACAACAAAATAAATGAAAACCAAATGAATATCATGCAACAAACTTCATAAAGTTTATACAATAGCGAGTGTCATGGTGCATGTTTTGTATATCTATATTAATAGCTTTATCAATACCTTTATGGCCACAGCCATGTCTGTGTTTGTATTGACGCCACCCAAGAGAAATAGGATAGAAAAGATTCACTGGGTCTGTTGTTAAGGGAGTGTTATAAAATTTATAGCTTCTTATGACCCTTCTTCTCTCTTCTTCTGCTGAAGAAAACTGTAAGTTTTGGTTTTTGTGAGAAAAAAGGTAAGAAAGAAATACTGTGAGGCTGTTGGTCGTTCCTGGGTGAATGTGAGAGAGGTTTTCCTACTCTGTCTGAAGTGTAATCCTTCTTCTTCTTCTTCTTTTTTTTTTGTATCAGGAGTCATCTCCAAGGAAGTCTTTGAATATAAACTATAAGCTTACACAACAGTGTGCTTGCTCGTGGACTTAGGTAAGAGAATCCAGTTTTATGACTGGGAGAGGTGCATTTCAGAATTGAAAGATTCACATTGCCTGAGACATCCTGGTATCTCTTTATAGCACAAATTCTTAATGAAAAATTATATAGATTAATAGTATCAGTATGTTAAGCTCTATAATGTACGTAATAGGATGTGAAGTCGGATACTCCAGTTCCAGAAATGTGGCTAAGATCCAAAGCCAAGAACAAATATAGCTCATGTTCTATGTTGAGAAAGCCCACCACCTGCCTACCAGGGATTAGTGAAAGAACCAGTTCAGAGAATGTCTAGCCACCAACTGTCTCTGCCTCCCAGCTCTATCCCAGTCAAAGCAAGAGGAGGGTGTGTGGGGAGAGAGGTGATAAACCTTGTGCACAGGGTAAGAAACGAAATTCATTCTCTCTTTCTAAAGCTCAGCGGGAGAGCGCCAAGAGGATAACATAAAGGTTGACAGTGTCTGCAGAGGAGTCTGGCAACCTGAATCCCAGCAGGGTGTGTGCAAGGCTGCAGAACACAAGCTCCCTCTTCTGTGTTTATCACTAATGCTGAACAGAAGCTGAGATGTTTGGGGGCAGAGTGTTTGAAAATCTCAAGCACAGAGAGCCTTATCCTTTTCAACCCTCTCCTTCCACTCTGAGGAAGAATCAATACGCCCCTGGCGTTGGACGAATATACAGACCAGGACTGTGGTCTTGAATTTTCTGTAACAGAAATGCCTGTCCCAACTCTTACAGGAACACAGTGGTAGCTGTTTCTGTGATTCTCCTAGGAGTGACAGAGGGCCCAGTGGTTTTCGAGGTGGCATGGAGAGGATCATTTAGGGTAGTGGAAGAGGGTAGGTCTTGGGCTGCGGGGCTGGTGAGCCAATCCCACAAGACTTAATTTAGGGAAGGAGTTATGGTCCTTAACCTGATGAAAGAGGAAAGTTGCCCAATGAGGGATGTTTGTAACTCTGAGCGCGGTGATTTTTTTTTTTTTTTCATTTTATTTTATTTTATTTTTTTAAAATATTAAATTTTATTTTTATATTCCCCCATACAATTGCAAACGCCCCATTCTGACCCCAATCCTTCCCATCCCGCCCCCCACCCCCCAAAAAGTGTCTCTGGTTCATAGTTTTTTGTTGATTTTGATTTTCACTTTCTTATATTCATTTTCCTGGTCCCTTATTTAAGTTTTCTAGATTCCTGCTATGAGTGAGACCATCCGGTATTTTTCTTGTTCTTTCTGGCTTATTTCGCTGAGCATGATCCCTTCCAGCGCCATCCATGTTGCTGCAAATTGCATGTGTTTATCTTTTTTGAATGCTGAGTAATATTCCATGGTATATATGTACCACATCTTCTTGATCCAGTCATCTATTTTTGGGCATTTGGGTTGTTTCCAAAGCTTAGCTATTGTAAACAGTGCTGCTATAAACATAGGAGTGCAGGTCTGAGCGCGGTGATTTTAATAGAGTCTCCCATACAACATCACGTCATCCACATTTCTGCACAATTAAGGGAAATATCAATTTTCCTCTCAAGCTCTCAGTAGTAATTAACCTGTCATTTTTGCTTTTTTTTCCTTCAATAAAGTCAAATAAATATTAGATTTTCTTTATTGCTGTCATAGGTGAGAAAATATGTCACCCAGAAGCAGCTAGCCAGAGAACTCAAGTGCCTAAAGTGGGAACGATCAAAGAGAATTTTAGGGTCACGAAAAGAAATATGTGATTCTCCAAGAACTAAGTAATTCATGGGAGAAATCTTGGCAATTTCTTGCTGTTGTTGTTGTTTGGAGAAATCAAACCTCCTGAGAGCACTGTCGACACAGACTTGGTCCACAGGCAGAAAAAGAATAACAAGGACTGAGACACAGCCCACTAAGTAGGTGTGAGAAAGAGAGGGTGTAGGAAACTTCACAGAGGGGTCACAGGACGTGGAGAATGCAAGAAGAAAAGCCAGGACCTATGGAAAGTCACATGCTCTGGAGATGAACACGACAATATGTCCGTCCCATGCTCCATTTACAAGACACTTACAAGTGTTGGGGTCTCTGTCCCTCTACCTCAGTCCCAGGCAGATTGTTGTGACTGCCTTGCTCAGCAGGATATGACAAAATCTCATTGACTTCCAGGCTGGGTTCTCTGTTCTCCTGGGGCACTGGCTTGGTAAACTCATATGACTTCATAGAACGAGGCCAAGTAGAAACCTCTGGAAAGGCTCACACTCACACAGTGAGGAACTGAAGCCTCAGCCCCTCAGCCAGTGTAAACACTGAGATGAGAACAATCTTAGGGTGTTCAGTGAGCTCCAAAAATCATTGAAGCTGAAACAGAGCAGGTAAGCTGTTGAGGGAAGCGAGAGGTATTGTGAGCAGGGGCAGCTCAGCAGAAACACCAGGTTCACAGAGATCATTGCAAGGGTTTTAGTTTTCGTTGTGTGATTATAAACATACAAACATGTTCTGTGGCCCCGTCCCATGTCTGTGATTCTCCTAGGAGTGACAGAGGGCCCAGTGGTTCCGTAGGTGGCATGGAGAGGATCATTTAGGGTAGTAGAAGAGGGTGGGTCTTCCTAGCCTCCATTGTATTTGGAGGTGGGGGCATAAGGGGTTAATTAGGTTATGGGGGTGGGGCTTTCATGATGGAATTAAAGACCAGCGTGGAGGGGGGTGGGTGACTCCTCTTCCTCTGTAGTCAAGAACCAAGGAAAGGCCATGCGAGGATAAAGAAAAAGGCAACTGTGTACGTGTCAGAAAGAGAGGCCTCCAGAAATACAACCATGCTGGACCTGGATCATGAACTTCCAGCCTCTACACCCCAGCCATAAGAAAATCAGTCTCCATGGTCTGAGCCACCCGGTGTGTGGTCTTAATTACGGCAGCCAGAGCTAAACCAATACAGCTCCCGCCGCAGCACAGCGGCAGTGTCCATCAGCTTTCATCCAACACTGAAATATAATTTTCTTTCAAAATATCCTATTTTTATTCTCCTCTGATTTCCTTAGTCCATTTCTATCAGCTGTCTGGTAACAAAGGTGCTAATTGCTCAGTTCATTGCCTGAAATTGCTTAATGACTGGTTTCAATTATGAGTTTTACAGTGTATTTCTAATACTCTATTTTCTTGAAATATAAGCAAAAACATGAGCCTTGAGGGATGTGTCCGTTACTAATTGGAATGTCTTCTTTTGAAAACCATGACAGAAAAATTAAAATAGAAAGTTTCCTCTACAATGTACACTACAATCTCATTGGTAGAGATTTTATAGGTTGCCCTGACTTTCAGGAAAAAAGCAGCATCTTCTTGTTTGTGTGAGAGGTCCTTGCCTATGCTGTTGAGATCCTTCTGTCTACCATTCCTTGTCTGTTTGGTAACCAATTAATTCTCTTAATATTATATGTTTCCCTTGGTGAAAACAGATAGGGTTTCTGACGGCTTTCTTTACAGGATTTAGTATCTGATTTCATGCACATGCAACTCTAAAGCTGTCAAACGTTGCCGAGATGGACAATTGCTTCTAGTCTCTCTTGGCTGCACTTAAGAGTTTAACTAACTAGTTTCTCCCGAGCTCTGGGGAAGACTCACGCTGTCTTTGTGATGCCCGTGTGCTCATTTCTCTGTCCACATCTTTCTTTCTTCTCAGGAACACTCAAGCACACACAATGGTAGATCTTTTCGGACATTGAGACACACTTGAGTTCCGAGAGCACCTCATATTTCCATTTCCTTCAACCTTGTCCTGGTTCCTGTGCCCCTTCCTCTTTTAGCAAACCATCAACCCCACTTCCTATGCCTTGTCCTCTTCCTTCTCTTCATTTTCTCCCCTCCCCTCTCTCTTGCCCAGAATTTGTATTCACATTTCTTGGTTCCTGATTTTGCTGTATCTTAGTGGGGTTTTCACTAGCTTTCTGCACAATGAGGGGGCATTTACCAGTCAAGACTATTTGGGGAGGGAGAATTATTGTCTTCTTGGCATTTGTAGCAAACAAGCACTTAAGAAACAAGTAAACTAACAAGTCCCAGCTCTGGACTTGAAGACAAGCTCCTGACTTGAAGACAAATCCAGTAGCAATTGGCAGATGTGCAAGCGTGAAGTTGTGGAAGAAACGTGTTCTGGAATTGCTGCTTTTTAACTCAGCTATCAGCATAGGCCCTTAAGAGAGAGACATTCTCTTCAAACTCAAAAAACTGTGATTATGAGTTATATCTGCACCCACAACAGAATGCAAAGAATGAGATAAATTATCACTTGAGGAAAAAGTGAATTCTTATAAAGAATGTGGCTCACCTGATATGGTACCTCCCACTCAGATATAAACGTGATATTTATGTCTTAGGGAGATCAAGGTCACAAAAATAAAGTGAATTGACAGAATGTTGAGACTTAAAAATGCAATTTTTCCCAACTTTGTTTAGATTCTCCATCTTTCATGACAGCTTTGGTTTTTATGCTTATG